GAAATGAAATAAATATTTATTGAAAACCTTTGAGTAAGTTCTAGAACTTTCTTTATCTACATTTTCTTACTCTGAGGTCAGAGTTGATAACTCTATTTTATACAGAAGGAAAAACCAAGAGGTTAAAAGCCCATTTAAAGCCAAGTAAAGGGGATGAGTTAAGGTCAGAACTCACAGCCATGTTTGGATGAATGGAGCACTAGAGAGCCATGTACAAAAACCTATCCGCCATCATTAGCCCTGGTGTATTCTTTTCTGCCATGGAGCCTTCTGGCCTTTTTACATCTCTCCCAGTGACAGAAGTTCCATTGATGTTCCAAGAATCATGGCAGAGTAGAGTTTTCAAAATCAGTACTCAGGTCCACAACCAGACATGTCCCTCAATGGTGGCCTTGCAGTGGACAAATGAGAACCTCAGTGGTGTTCACCAGGAGCAGGAAGAGAAGAGGAGAGGAGTCCCTTTTCCACCAAGTGGGAATGGAGAGAGAGAAAACAAGAGGGGCAGACAGGAAAGCAGCATCCGCCTGAGCACTATAATCATCCGACATTCTTGCAGATGTGTCTTTCATTTTCTCATCATTCATTCATTCAAAAATAGTAACCCATCCTTATATTTGGTGTCAGGGAATAGAAATTTGAGCACAGTCTGTCTGTTCTCATCAAATTTCCAGTTCAGTGGAGGACACAAACTTAACCCAGAGAACATATCAGTAAATGTCAACTTTCTGTGGTGATGAGGTTTACAAAGGGAAAACATCACAGAATCTGGAATGGAATGGAATAGGGAAAGTAAGTGAGGTATGGGATGACTTTACAGAAGATGCCATTTAAGTAGAGATCTCAGTGAGTGGGGGACAGTCAAAGAACAGGAGAGAGTTCTAGGAGGGAGCGTTTGCAAAGATTCTGGCAGGAGCCCGGGGGGCAGATACTGGGTGCAGGAGTTGAGAGGGCCCTGGGTGGAGAGCCAGAGCAAACCAGGCACACTGAGGGTGTGGTAAGGAGCTCACATTGCATCCTAATGTAAAGGACGGTACTGAATCTTCTAACATGATCCCTACATAAGCTTTTAAAAAGTAATCACTCTGGCTGCAGGATGGAGAATGAGATGTAATACTACAAGTGAGATCATTGTTAAAGGGTGTTGGGCAGTTTTGAAGCACAGGATCCTGGTGGCAAGGACTAGAGTGGCAGCAAAAGAGAGAATTTGTCCACAGGAGTCAAAGTTATAAAGGAGGTCATGGTGATTTTGTTTAACCTTCACAATTACTCTGTAAGGGTAATTTTAGAAGAGTGAATGTTGAGACTGTTGGCTCATGTCAGGAATTGGCAAATCCCTGTCTGAGATCTTGGTTACTTTCTAGTCTCAACTCTATCAGGGCACCTTCCCATATTAGCTATCATTCTTCCATCTCTCTTTGCACAAAGCAGGGGTAACTGAAGTGCTCAGTTCCACTCATCATACTTTTCCTTCCAAGGTCTTCCACCATCTTCCCCAACACTATGAAGCCCAGTGCAGGGTGCCTGGCAATAACCTAACCAGTGTTGACTGAGTTGCTCTTGAGCATCCTCTTAAACCTCTATTTAGAGATTGAGAAAGTGAGACAGTCAAGGTCACACAGAAAGACGGAGGCACATTTAGGTCTAGAAGTCACTGTTCCTATCACTCTCGGATAACCCCAGAGACCTACATTCCTTCTGAGTACTTCAAAGATGGCAGCCATCCAATAAATGCCTTGGCCATTGCTACATGCTTTGAGATTGGGAATGACAGCTCAGATCCTACATTTCAGATAGAACTAAAGAGGGCCCAGTGAATTGATATGGAGTCCCCAAATGCTATGGAGTGATCATTCTTAACGCCTTCCTGGTGTTTCTATCCCTTTCTTCCCCACCTCCTTGCATTTCACATCTCATCTCTCCGGTGGCCCAGTGGGCTGACTTGCATGGCTCTCGGCAGACCACAGGGAACTGGTGACTCACCACATTTGCTAAGGAGCTTAGATGGCAGCGGCAGAGGTGGGGAGAGGACTGGGCGATAGGGGTCTACACAGGCCTGCAGGTGTAAAGAAGAGGAACACAATCGGCACAGCTAATAGGATGATAAAAACCATGTTGTTGAGACACCCTCTCCAAAACAGAGAAGTAGGCATTGGGCCTGGGGAGAGGCAAACAGGATGCAAAGGGAGCTAGAGCTGGAAGCCAGGGGCATTTCAAGAGTGGGGGATTCTTACAGATGCACAGCCAGTCCCATTGACACATAGTGAGAAGGAACCTCAGAGACCAAATGTGACCAGCTCCCACCCTTCCACTCTCCCTGTTTCAGAGAAGAAAACAGAGGCCGGGATAACAGTGAGACTAAAGTTGAACAGTGAGGTGGTGGCAGATTTGAGACCCTTCCCCCTACACAGAGTTGATCCATTGATCCTTCGTCAGTGGATTAGCTCTGCCAAAACTTATTCTCTCCACGCCTAATTTCCCCCTGAATGCTTTATGGATGGCAAATAATTCTACACCTGAGAACGACCTCCTCGAGTGTCTAGGGTCACAGCCCCTTCATGGAGGACCAGGAAGTCTGCAGAACTGGACATTGCACTCTTGAGTTCACTTGGCTGGGACAGAGGCTTTGCCAGGACCAAATTCACTATCTGTGCTCCACAAAATATCAGAGCAGCAGCGGTAGCAGCAGCAAGACCCATGCTTTGAGAACATCAAGGGCAATGTCAAGTGCCTGGGATCCTGCACAAGGGTAGGGTAGTCACGCTAGGGAATATAAATATGAAATGCCTTCATTCTTTCTCACTTCCCTTCCTCCTTACATCCCTTTTCTTCCTATTTCTATATGATAGAAGCTCTACAAAAACAGGGGTTTTACAGTTGTCTCTTGGTTTGTGTCCCTAGTGCTTAGACAAATGGTTGGTGTTGAACAAATAGTTGTAGTATGTATGGGAGGAGGAAGGAGGAAGGAAAGACACCAGGAAATATCTGGAGAAAAGGAGGAAGAATATGAGAAAATAAGAGAAGATGATAAAAATAAATAGAAATCACGAGATGGGAATGAAGAGAAGAGGCAATGATAGAGGATGGAAAGAAGAGGAGAGAAAATAGAAGATAAATAAATCAAGCAAGCAAGTAAGCAAAACCCCAGGATACTGAGCAGGAAGAGAAATAAGTGGAGGAAGAGGGCTGTGCCGTTAGTGGAAAATAAGTGGAAGAGAGAGATGAAGTAAGCGGATTGGCATTCCGCTGGCAGCAGGGCCAGCGAGGGAGACAGGGAGGGTGTCACAGCCCGGTCGCCTGTCCTCACTATCCTGAACACAGTCTGGCTGTCTGGAGTGGCCGGAGGCACCAGGCCAAACCGTTTATCTCCCATCCTGGGGCTTGCTTTTGCTTTTCTTTTTTAAGTTTAACTCCGATTTATGGGGGCCATGCTCAGTGATGGATGTTTTTCCAATTAGCTGTAAATAGCCCAGTCCTGCGGAGGAGACCCACTGACTTCCCCAGCCCTCATCTTGCTGCCGGATTGGGGGAGGGAGAAGACAGGTCAAGAATCATTGATCACCGACTTCTAAATCTCCAATGCAGCAAATTCCAGAAAGCTAAGGAGTGGGCAGGAGTGAGCGGCAGGCCCCATTATTCTAATGGCTGCAGAGGCTGCAAGCCCTTCCCAGGGGATGTGGAGATGGAAACACTCCCCACACAGGATCCTTTCAGTGAAGGCGCCATGCACAGGGAGACAGGGATAGTAACAATGAGAATTGAACCGACATTAATAATGTCTACCTCATTTTGCTCCAGCCTACACAGGCACCATGATACATTTTCATAAAACTTAATCAAAATCCATCTCCCAACTCCATAAGATAGTTGTAAAAGCCCACTTTACAGATGAGAAAACTGAGCCCAAAGAGGCTTTGTGATCTATGCTCTTTGAACATCTCTGGTGAATGGGTAAAGGGCATGAAGGAAGGCTGGTGGGGGTGATTTCTCTTCCCCTTTCCTGCCTCAGGTACTCCAGGTCTTGCTTAGCTGCCTTCCTTTCAGTAGTAGTCAGAGCCCATAGATGGCCCCATCATTGGCATGGAGAACATGTTTGCATTCCCAGAGTCTCTTCCAAACATGCAATCTCACACTTGTTGATTTCCTATTCTTATAAAATGCTAGGAGATGAAGAACTGGATTCACATTCACAGATGATTGCCTGAAATATGCTATGTTTTCATATATAGCATGTTGAATCAGAGAACTATGGACCTTGGGTACAAAGGATAGTCCTTTATGGAGCTCTGCTCCAGCAATTTGACATCACCTGAATTTGACTATCATCATGAAAAATAATGCATCAATACTGATTTTCTTTTTCTGTGCTTGGGATTGAAATCAGGGCCTCACACAGGCTAGGCAAATGCTCTCTCACTGAGCTACACCTCAGCCTATCCCAGGTTATATCTGTCGAAGACACTGTCTATAAACCTATTTAAAGTCTTGTTTATAGGGACCACCTTGAGGTCTTTCTCCCTGGTCAACATCATGTAAATGAAATTTCAAGAATAAATGCCCATTTCTCTCCCATAGACTCTGTACATTTTACTTATGAGTACATTTCCCTTTACATGTTTGCTTCTAGGGTTCTCTAAGTCAGCAGTTCTTAAGAACTATATAACGTGGTAGACACGGGGTACCTGGAATTAATCCAACCTGAATTTCAGTAATTATTCTTATTCCTGTTTTTCTTTCAATATGATTAGTTATTTCATTTCATGTGTTGAATTTTTAAAAACTGCATAAATTAAAAAAAAAATCCCAAGACCTTTGATAGATGATGTAGGACAAAATAAATAAAATAAAGAAGAGAGCAGGAAAAACAAAGGTCCATAGTCTGGCCAGGGTAGTAGATACCAAGCTCCATGTTAATCAGAATGGAGAAAATTTAGGTTTGTCATTGATGACAAAATCTGCTTCCACAAACTCCGGTTCTGGAACCTTCCCAAGGACTCTGTTACCTTTGCTGCGACGGCGACTGCGGTACTGCTCTGTGTAGAACGTCAGTTGTGTTTCATCATCTGCTTCTGAACCTGAAGTCCCCTTGGTTCTCCCAAAGCTGATCCCCCCTGCAAGGAAGCACAATCCACCAGTCAGCCTCACAGACCTCCAGAAGCCTGTTAAATCCCTCAACCATCTCACACATGGGCAGCCCCATCCCCAGACTTCTCTTTGTAAATCCCCAGTCACCTAGGAGTCAGCATGATTAATGGGAAGGAGTCCAGGGTCTGCAGTGAGGCGGAGCAGATTTCCAACCACCACTAGGCATCTTCCAGGCTGTGTGACCTTGAAGAGACACCTCACCTTTCAGGGCTTTCTCTCAAATAAGAGCAACACTGTTAACCTTGTGAGGTTGCTCTTCAGATTAAAGGAGACAGAATATGTAAACTACCAGTCTACAGTGGGCCCTGAATCATGGAGAGCTACTGTTGCTTTGCATGTGGAGCCTACCTCTAAAAAAATACACTCCAGGCAACAACTTAATTTCACACACATTTCAATCAAGGGCTTACTATATGCCAGGCCCAGAGCCAGACACTGGAGACACTGATAAATGTGACTCAGTCCTGGTGAGCCAGGGAATCATAAGCTAGTCAGACGGACAAATGGGATCCTTAGGAGCCTTAAACCTAATTCATGGCTTATGTTTACCACACAATGAGACACTAGGAATATGGAGGAGAGCAATTCATTTCAACATGAAGGACCTGGGAAGGTTTTATGGAGGAGTGAAGATTTAAGTCAGGGCTTAAAGGATGGATGGGGCTTCAGTGGTAGAAAAAGGAGTTCCAAGGGGAAGTAATTGTGGAGCATCCCCAAGGATGGAGCCCATGGGCAGCTGGAGGCAACAGGTCTAGTGCTGGCTGTTAAGGACATACTGGAGCCACACCTTGGCCATCCTTGAGTGCCAAGTTGAGGAGAAAGTGGGGGTGTGATTTTTATATTGGGTGTCAAAGGAGGTTTCAGAGAACGAGTGTGAGTTGATGAGGCCTGTGAACCAGCAGGAATGGTGTGGGGGTGCCCAAGCCTAGGTAGGTGCCAGGCAGGGGGAGCAGTGGAGAGGCTCAGTGATCCTGCAGGTGAAAGGTGAGGGCTTTGGTGAGGGTGTGTACAAGGAGGATGAGAAGGAGGACGAGATTGGGTGTGGGAGGTGCTTCAGAGACAAGCACAGGGCACTGTGCAGGGAAAAAGGGTGATGTATTCCTATACTATGAACAATTGATCACCTAGAATGAAAAAAGAAAGGCTGGAGGAACTGATATTAAATAATTCTGATGCTAGGAATATGGATAATTATCATCTTTGAGTATTTTAAATTGTTTTTTTTTAAAGGATGAGATATGGAAAGAGAGGGATTAAAAGATGGGCAAACTCTTTACCTTAAGGAGAAAGCAAAGATGAGTGTGCTTCTAAAAAGGTTGGGGGTGAGTGGGTGGGCAAGAGAGAATGGTTCGATTTTCAGGACTCTTTAATGGATGATGTTTGGGACATCTAAATAATAGGCTGTCTCTAGAAGGAGACTCAAGAATCCAGTAAAAGTGGTTATCCTGGGTGGAGAATTGAGTGGCTGAAGAGTGGGGATAGAAGGAGGCTACTTTCCCATGTAAATCCTTTGTATCTTTTGAGTCAAGAACTATGCCAACCCATTATCTACTTGAAAGTTCCACCTGAGGAAAAGAAAAGCATAGATTAGAGGAAAATGTTATTCAATTCACGAAAGAATTTACTATGTAATTTCCTCTGGTAGGGATTTGAAATGGCATTCAGTATACAGAAATTCCACTTGCAAACACATTTTCTGCCATACTGTTATTGCAATTCATTCTTTCCAGCAATGTTGTTATGCAATCTACTCTCTACCTAGAAGATTTGTGTACAAGATGGCATGCAATCCCCATCATGATATTCTCATAAGGGAGATGTAATTAACAAACTAGATAATAAAGAAAAGATAAAAGAACATGCTGGGAAGTTATCTTGCCAAAAGTCACACCCCTGATAAGTGGGAGAGTCAGGATTTAGGGCTAATTTGTCTTACTCCATCTGAATTGTGTTTCTCTAGTACATAAATTACTTTCCTTGGAAGAACTTTCCTTGGAAGCAAAAGCCTTGGGAAAGCAGATTGTCCTTCAGATGTCAAGGTACCTAGTTCTGTGTTATAAGCCTTGCATACCTTATCCAAACTCATTATCAGTAAGAGGGAGGTATCAGTTTCTTCATCTGTATAGTGGACACAATGAGGTCTGGAAAAGGAAAGTAATTTTTCAATAATGAGTGAAGCTGGATTTTGAAAACAAGGAGGACTGATGGCTAAGTTCAAATTTTGAATCTCTTGCTCTGGTACCTCTTTGTTTAATGCTCCATAAAATGGAAAGATGAGTTACCATCCCCCTGACACCTCCCTCAGATAGCAAACAAATAGGGAAATCCAAGGACAAAAACAGCTGTTCTTTGTCCACACGTGGGTCATCAGGCATGGTCTTATGCACACCTCCACCATATCCTACAAATAAAGGGGAAAAAAAGGGAAGGAAATAAAAGGAAAAAAAATGTGCATGAAGGGGTGGTACTGGAAGAGGAAGGAAGATTTTTGTTTACCTGTGCATAATTCTCAGCCAAGGGGAAAATAAAGGTGTCTGACCAAGCACTTCCTTGTGTATAGGAAGCATTTGTCATTCTTCCTGCTGCACTCTGAGCAGGAGAGCAAGAGGGAGGGGTCTATGGCTGTAGAAGTCCACCCAAACCCTTTTTCCACTGTCCCTTTATAGCCACTCCCAGATTTTTAAAATTTTCTAGCTAAATCCTCCCTCTATACCTTCCTTGGGTCCTACATCCTTTTTACCTTTCCTCCTTTGGTAAACAAATGATCCATGTTTTAGTCAGCTTTTATGCTATGACAAAAAGAACTGACAAAAACAATTTTAGAGGAGGGAAAGTTTATTTCAGGCTCATGGTTTCAGAGTCTCAGTCCATAGATGGCCAACTCCATTGCTCTGGGCTACTGCTGAGGAAGAACATCGTGGTAGAAGAGTGTGTTGGAGGAAAGCAGCTCAGGACATGGCACCAGGAAGCAGAGAGACTCCTTCACTGTAGACAAAGTGAAGCCCCCAATGACCCACCCCCTGCAGCCACACCCCACCTGCCTACAGTTACCAACTACTTAATCCCTCTCAGGGGATTGATGCACTGATAAACCCAATCAGTTTATTTAGGACTCTCATAACCCAATCACTTCACCTCTAAATTTTCTTCCATTGTCTCATATGTGAGCTTTTGGGGGACACCTCATATCTAAACCATAACAACCTACTTTCCAACAGTTAACTGTCTGAATCCTATATGTCACATTTGTTATTTCCCTACTAGGACAGTCTAGTGTGGGTGTCAAAAAGGTCACCAGGCAATTCCAATAAGAACAGCTAACACTAGCACAGCACTGTCTCTCTTCCAGGCATTGTTCTAAACCCCGGAAGTACTGGGGTAGGACACTCCTTTCATTTCCATTGGAATGGATGAGAAAATAAAGTTGTAGGGAAATGAGGAGATTCACACAGCTGTAAGAGGCAGAAGCATAATTCAAACTCTGCCAGTGGATGCAGAATCTACTCCATCTCTGTGCTAGGGTATGATAAAATATGAGTGAACAGCTCATTTAATGTCCATAGTCATCCCTGAAAGGGTGGTATCATCAACCTTGTTTTATAGACCAATAACTGTCTCACAAAGGTGATGTGAGGGAGTAAATGGCCAAGCTGGAGTAACAATTGGGTCTGTTACCTGCACTGTCTCATAGCTAATATGAGACAGCTGGAAGAGAAAGAAGTGTGTGTGTGTGTGTGTATGCTGTGTGTTTGTGTGTGTGTGTGTGTGGTGTGATGTGTCCACGTGTGCACACAAATGCCTGATGAGTTAATCACTAAGGACTAGCCAGTCTATTTCCTGATTCCATTACAAGGACACACATTCACCTTCCTCCTGTTCTTCCCCTGAGTTTTGCAATGGTGTTTATTATAGCAGCTCTGATTAAGTTCAGCAGGATCCTAGTGATCCCTCCATCCTTCCACAGGTCCAAGCACACAGACACTGTCCAACGTAACTACCCCAATGACTCCCCTTTGAGTCAACCCTCTATTCCCACACCTGCCCATCCCCTTCACCTTCATGTTAAGTATTCAGGGATCATTTTCAGAGGGGAAACTGAGGCTGAGAGAGAATGCCTCTAGAACAGCTGGCTCAGAAGAAGTATAATGCAAGTCCCATTTGGGTTTCAAATGTTCTAGTAGCCACATTAGATGGGTGGGGCAGATAAATTTTCACAATATATTTCACTCAATGTATGTAAACCATCCTCATGTTACCATTTAAATGACAGAAAATGATTCTATATTTTTCATGAGTCTTCAAAACCCACTTACATCACATCTCAGTCCAGACAGTCCACATTTCATGTGCCCCACAACAGAAGGCACAGTTCTGGAGGCATTTATTCAACAGATCTTTGAGAATCTGGGACAGGAGAGAGAGGAATAAGCTATGGAACCAAGGAAAGTGTTAATTTTTAAAAAATAAAAAGAGAGAGACTTGGATGAAAGCTGATGTAGCTGGAATTCTATTAAACAACACTCTTTCAGTGTTCCAGCTCTCAAGGCTCTTAGAGACTTATTTGTTGGTTTTGATGTTGGTTTCATCCATGAACACTTAGAGATAATGTCCTTTGTTAGAAAGAAATTAGACTACTAGAATCAGACATGAGTTCTAATGCTACATCTCGCTTATTAGCTGTGTGTCCTTGGGCACAGCACCTAATCTCTCTCTGAACTTATTTTTAAAAGAGAAACAATAAATCTTGAGTTTACATTGTCATTATGAGGAAAATGATATTCTGTACGTGAACAAAGATCAAGAAAGTGAGACTAGAGGGACTTTCCTTACTTAACGAGTTTAATGGGAGGGAAGGGAATACTGCTGGGTAACCGTGGTCACCCCTACATTCTGGTTCAGAAAGGAAGGTGGCAGCCACCCAAGGCATATGGACTCTAAGTGCCCATATAATCTGCAGGGGCCATAG